CATCTGCTAATAATAGTAGAGAAATAGTGGGCAATGCACAGGGGATTTTCAGATTAATTTGGATTTTAAGAAACAATTTGGTCAGATATATTTGACCTTTTAGAAGTACCTGTCTGAATCCCAAGTTTCCATTCTTTTTCACTGAATTTACAGAGGTATTGATCTGGTCTTGGGGAAAAAGATTTTTAAGGATTTCCATCCCAGATTTTTTCATCCCACCTCTTGCAGATTATACTGTGGAATACAGAATGCTTTTTCTGTTATCAGTCTAGCTGGAAATAAAGATTTTCAATAAAGGGTAATCTTAAACTGAAAATGTTCTCAGCTTTAGACCTTAATATTTAGAGCCCTTGAAATAGCCTCCTCTACTATTCCCTCCCTAAATCTGTCCCCTAAGAAAATCTTGAGGTTTAGGTATATGGGCAGAAGTGGGGAGGAAAGGAGTATGCTTTGAGAATTCGTGTTCTCATCTGACTTGACAAGCAGTCTTTTAAAAACTTAGCAAATTAGGATAAAATGAATAACTGAATGAGGAGTTTCTCATTTGCAAAGGAAAAGGAATCAAAGTAAGTAGTTATTTCTTTGTCCACTAGGGGGTGGTGTAGACTGTAAAGATCATATCTTGGGGCTTGGCGAACACCAATATTTCTGTCAGTGATTCCAGATATTTCACGAATTTTGTATAGAATTCTAAAAGGGGAACATAACGATGTTGTGAAGTTTCTGTATCAGATATTATTCACATTATAAAATAAGTTAGGTTATTCTGTACGACTTATAAATAACTTTATAGCAGGTTTGTTTGGTGTTTCAACATCCCATGTAGTTGGTACTGGCCTCACACGGCTGTCCAACAGTTGAAATGTTACTATTTTGAATAGCTATCAGTGTCATTACATGCTGGATTTTGAAGAGTTAGTATGGAAAAAAAAGTAAAACTTGAATGATTTTTATATTGAGTTCATGCTGAAATGTATTAGTTGAGTTAAATTAAAAAATTAAATTAATTTACCTGTTTCTTTTTACATTTTAATATGACTACTAGAAAATTTAGTTACGTATGTGGAATGAATAGCATTAGCACTGTTAAGAAGAAAAGCATTCCTTGAACATTTTTGACATGGCCTACCTTTAGCTGCCAGGATTTATAGTAAGAACACTGAGCACAACTTCAGTTGTATTTCTGATCCCAGTTAGAATACATACAGTTAGGCCAATGAGAGATACATTCCTGACATTCACTGTGTTAAACAAAATTGTATAGTGAAAACCACATAGTTCTTGGATAAAATGGGTTTGGGCATGCCATTCAGATTTTATTGGTAGCATTTTGAAAAAGAATTGATGTTTGCTTTTTTACTAATAAAGAAAAGGGAACTCTGTTAATATTTCAGAAACACTTAAAGATATATAAAGGGTTGGTATAGCTGGAGTTGACATCTTTGAGGCATCTGTCAATTTCATCATTTTTGAGATAGCAAAACTAAGGAGACTTGAGTATAACCAGATAGACAGCTCTTGGGAGGATGAGCTAAAGAATCCATACTGGCATTATTAGTTATTACCTGCAATTTTGTATTTCAGAGAGGATTCTGAGTAGGGAAAAACTAATTGCTGTAGATATGATGTATTAAGATAAGTATATATGTGTATAGATAGTTAATAGTTGTACTAACTTTTCTCACATACAAATTACCTTTCTTTTACTAAGAATACTGTTTATTATTTAAATGTTACTGAATACAGTTTAATCATTACTTCACAGAGTGTATATATACTTAGCTTGCTTGGTAGTGAGCACAGAAGATTGTTAAAAATGGGGAAAGTCCTGGTTGATAGGTACGTTCAAAGAATGTTAAATGTTATAGTTTACTTTAGAATAATTTTGGGATTTGCTTAAATCCCAATGGCTCTTTTAAGAATATAATTTAACTTGACTGTTATACATTCTGTGAAATGAGTTTCCTTGCCATGTAGATCCCTATATTCCTTTTGAGTTGACTATATGACTATGGCCTTAGAGGATATCTTCAATCTTTACAATGTTACATTGTTTTCAGAGCAACTCTATTGAGAATAGTATGAACTGTACAGATGAGGAAACAAAATCCGCACAGTTTACGGTACCTGCTCAAAAGCATTTAAGTAGTACTGTAGGGATTTGAACCTATTTTACTTCTGTATTTGAAGAAATCACACTTTCCTTTTCTGTTTGCCAAAGAGTAGTCGAAAAGATAAAACTAGAAAGTGTTTTATCGGTAACCATGTTAGTGGTAGCAGGAAGGATTTTATTTCCTACCCAGATTTTGCTTTTGTAGGGAAAAAAATTTGACACGAACTTCTGTGACTATAGGACTTCACATGCTAGTGTCTGAGACTTGTTCAGTTTGACTTTTATTTTTTACCTCTGAGTTTGTTTTGGAAATCAGCACAGTGTGGACAGTTAGCATTTGTTCATTGTATCAAAACCCATTAGAACTCAAGAGCATGTAAAAATTATTTCAAAAAGGTTTCTACACCTAGAGGCTTTTTCTAGAATGTCCTGATTAAATTACAGTTGATAAGGTGAGGATAAGTTTAACATGTACATTCTTTAGAAAGATTGATTTTGAGGATGAACTGAAGAATAAGAAAATGCATTATCTAGCTCACTAAGAGTGGTTGTGCAGCTGTTTTGGGATATGATCCAGGAGGCCCTTCTGTAAGCTTTTTATAGCTTGGATAGAGCTGCTACTATTTTGTGTAGTAACTAGGGTGTATATTTGTAGCTGTTGGACCCCAGCTTTCTCTCCCTCCCCCCTCCCTCTTTATGGCTTTCTAAAAATATGAAGACCTGGGGCACAGGAAAAGGAGGATAGGGGAGGTGAGGTGAGGTCAAAATTCAGGGAATATTACTTTTCAGTACATTTCTCATTCTGAAATGCTGTAAACACCTCATAGCGAAATTCTTTAGCTTCAAAATAAAAACATTTTTAGATCTGAATGTTCTCATGAGCAACAATGAAAATGTAATTAGGACAAAAGAGGTTGGTCTTCACCAATTTAGAGATAAAAGTAAAGATAGTAAGGATGAAAAGGTAAGAGGAGTCGAAGTTTCTTATTTGTCCTCTTGCACTGCCTCTATTAAAACATGACAAAAACTAACCCCAAAGTGTTAAAGGAATTTACATGGCTATTAGTTTAATACATTTTGGGGGAAGTATTTGATTTTGTATCTTCATCTTAGGACTATTTCAGAACATGACTGTGCTGACGATCTTACTTTAGTATGTATGTGCTATAGACTATAGACTAAATGGTGTGAGGTGTATAATTTTTCTTAAGGCAGTGTAAATATATATTTTCATACCTAAAAGTTTTTCATACCTAAAAGCTTATATAGCAGTTTTCTAAACTTTATTGACCAACACAGTGCTGCTAAAATGTTGAACATGTATTGCTAATATATACACTTATGCATATTACTATCAGTTTTTATATTGAATAGTAACATTTTTCTGATTAAAGATAATTTACAGTTTATAAATATATTATTTATAATTACTTATATTAGATAATTATTCCTTTCCAAACCTCAGTGTATCCTTTTGTTTTCTTCTTGTACACATCCTACTCTGAATAACAGTGCTTTAATGATGGTAAAGATGAAATTCTTAAAGTTCTTGTTTTTTATAACATCATATAGATTCATAATTCAATAAATATTTGTTGAACATCTACTATTGTGCCCGACACAAACAAAATTGGAAACAAAATTGAATAAAGGTTTTAGGAACTAAGGGAGAGAGCCATATAGAAGTTTGGGGAAAGGAGCCAAAGCAAAGCCCTGAGGTAGAAATATGTCTCATAGATCGAGGAATACAGAAAAATTACTTTGACAGGAACAAAGTGGTCAGGGTTGGGGGTAAAGTGATGAATTTAGGGAGGCTTCAGCATATACAGAGTACATTTATTTGTTTTAAACATTTATTTTTATTTCTTTATGCATACAAGAACTGGAGTGTAGGCCAGAGGGGTGTGTGTGTGGGGGGGTTGGGGGGAGTTGGAGAGGGGACAGGCAGGGAGAAGGAGGGGAGAGAGAACTGACTCACCAGAGACAGCAAGTCAGGAGCAGAACAGGCAGTGAAATTCACTGACAACCCCAGGCCTCAGTGGCTAGCCGGTGATAAGCTTGATAGCACTGAAACTTTAACCCCTATACCACCAGGGATGCCCCAGAGTGTATTTAGTATTTAAATTCACTGGACTAAATGAGATTACTGTGGAGGTGTGTAGACAAGAGGCCTGGGCCTGGGCAAGTAGGAACTAGCAAGGAGACTACTGCCAGGCCAAGGAGGAAGAAAGTGAGAGAGTGTAGTTACAGGAAACTGGATGATGCCTTTTAAGGAAGGCACACCAGCTGCTTTGGGGTCAAGTAAGACAAAGATGAAGCACTGGTGCTTCCATAAACATTGGAACCTTGGAACCTCCACAAACAGGTTAGTGGTAAGGGCTTGATTGGACACAACTGATAAATTGATTCATTGTCAATTTATCCCTCGTGCCATTATATTTTTCAGAGGTGTGATTTTCAGTGAATTTAAGAATTATTGATAATTTTACTTTCTAAACTGCTTGATATAGAAGAGCTTAAATAGCAAGTTGATTTACTGGGGTGCTAATTCTTGTGTTCCTTTTTCCCTACCTGCCTTCTATCATTTTTTCTTTAATATGAGTATAAAGTGCTTTTGTTGTAAATAAAATCAATTTTATTATCCTTATTTTATCATGCCACTTGTAGATATTTATGCCTAGAATAGGTATAAATCATCAATATTTGGCTGTAGTTGCACTTAGCTGATTGTGATTATTTAAAGGGCCTGGTCTTTGAGCTTTGCATTTTTCAGCTGAATAAAAACCCATTAAGAAAGTCCAATTCCAGGAGATGAAATTTATAATTTTACTTAGTGTTTTAACAAAATGACATTGTTTCACAAATGTATTATGCTTTTCTGTTGTAGGAAACCCAGCGTTTGCTGGCGGAACCAGTTCCCGGCATTAAAGCAGAACCAGATGAAAGCAACGCCCGTTATTTTCATGTGGTCATTGCTGGCCCACAGGATTCCCCCTTTGAGGGAGGGACTTTTAAACTTGAACTATTCCTTCCAGAAGAATACCCAATGGCAGCCCCTAAAGTACGTTTCATGACCAAAATTTATCATCCTAATGTAGACAAGTTGGGAAGAATATGTTTAGATATTTTGAAAGGTAAGTGTTAATCTTTGTCACTATGTGCTATTAAGATTCCTCCTCTTTTTCTTAAGCATTCCATGTTGAGAATCTGAGCATTGTAATCTTGTCTTATAGAAACACCTCTGAGGGAAATGTGAGGGAGGGAAATGCAACACTTGTAGGCTGTTTTTTATACTTTATCATTCTGGGCCTGTTGCCTTCATAGATAAGTGGTCTCCAGCACTGCAGATCCGCACAGTTCTGCTATCGATCCAGGCTTTGTTAAGTGCTCCCAATCCAGACGATCCATTAGCAAATGATGTAGCGGAGCAGTGGAAGACCAACGAAGCCCAAGCCATAGAAACAGGTACTCAATATTCATTTGCTTATGTTCCGCTTCCTCTTTAAAAACAAATTTGTGCTATTTTTATAAAAACGTTTAAAAAGTCTTAACAAAAAATAATGAACAACTATATACCAGAGATATTTTACAGGGGTGGAGTGGAGAATGGACTCAAAAATGGGGGGCGAGGGGGAGTGCACTGGACTATTAGGGTGATGGCACACGTGTGAATTGGTGGTAGGAAGTCCACGGGGATTACAACTGAGATGGAAAAAGGCACAGAATGATGTAAAAATAAACTATTACATTATTTTTAAAAAGTCTTAACAAAAAAGGAAAGTATGTATCAGGAGTAATTGAGATCTTGCTTTTGTTGTATGTAAATCCCTCTCTCAATAAAACATATTCTATCTCAGCTAATGCTGTTACCTGAAATCTATACAACCTATGCTTGACGGATTTTAGGCTATTGTGTAACCTATACTTGATTAACGAATATGGGCTGCCTCCCATTCATCTAATAATGTGTAAAATAATGGTAAACCTTTGAACTCCTTTGAGATGTTTTCATAATCATTTCTATAAAAGTATATATCAGCTTATGTTTCGAAGAATGAGAATCATTAAATTTCCTGCTACAGATTTTAACAGAATTAGTGGGAGCATTATGCATCGAGACAGTTCATGCTGTTAAATTTTATAGAACTTAGAATTTCATTGTACTGTCTTTCCCCTCTAATCCACATTATTGAAAATGCATGACTTTAAGAGATTATAGCATGTCATTTCCATCATTGACTTAATATTATTTTTCTATATCTTAATAGAATTTGGAAAGTTAACAATGAACTAAGTAATATAGTAATTGCATGTTTGTTTTTGTCTACAGCTAGAGCATGGACTAGGCTATATGCCATGAATAATATTTAAATCGATCTGATCATCACGTGTGCATCACTTCTCCTGTTCTGCCAAGACTTCTTCCTCTTTTGTTTGCATTTAATGGACAGTCTTAGAAACATTACAGAATAAAAGCCCAGACATCTTCAGTCCTTTGGTGATTAAATGCACATTAGCAAATCTATGTCTTGTCCTGATTCACTGTTGTAAAGCATGAGCAGAGGCTAGAAGTATCATCTGGATTGTTGTGAAACGTTTAAAAGCAGTGGCCCCTCTCTGCTTTTATTCATTTCTCCCATCATGGTTTAAGTATAAAGCACTGTGAATGAAGGTAGTTGTCAGGGTTAGCTGCAGGGGTGTGGGTGTTTTCTTTATTATTTTTTTGAGGGGGGGTAGTTTTATTTTAATTTTATGGGCTCCTTTCCCCCTTTTTAAGTGATCTAATTGCATTGGTTAAAAGCAGCTAACCAGTTCTTTAGAATATCTTCTCTAGCCAAGTCTAACTTCATTTAGACACTGTAGATGGACAAGCTTGATTGTTTGAACCAAAATGGGAACATTAAACAAACATCACAGCCCTCACTAATAACATTGTGACTTCGCTGTCAAATGTAGAATTCTCCCTTCAAGAAAAAGCTTGTGACCATTTTGTATGGCTTGTCTGGAAACTTCTGTAAATCTTATGTTTTAGTAAAATATTTTTTGTTATTCTACTTCGCCTTTGTACATTTTATTTTACTGTGTTTATTTCGTTTTCCCAATGTGACAATCGTATTTAAAAGTTAAAACTGATGGAACATTGTTTTGATCTTCACCATCTGACAATTTGAATGGCAAGAGGTAGATTTTTTTGAGCTTTTCACTGATGCAAATTTAAGCTGTCGGTAAATAGAATATTTATAAGTTGGCTCTGAGCATGCATACAGCATCAGTACCTGACCTTTTTTTTAACCTCTTAGAAATTTGAAATAAATGTTTCTGTTTTGTCCGATAATTAGACTCTCATTGGTGTCTTGCCACAGTGTTTGAAAATTACTGTACAGGAGCATCACAGCAAAGCAGCAGCTGTGACAGATTCTGTAGGATTTTCACAGGTGCCACATTTGTGTCTGCATTTGGGTTTATGACCTTTTTCTTACTTCTTATTTGCAAATTCTGTGTGATCACGGGTATGTGTTATTAGGAAACACCAACCTGATTATCATTTGGGTTTTGCTGAGGCATTTATGAGTCTTCCTTATAGACCTGACTAGCAAATCTCAAGCAACTTGCTTGCATAAAAGTATCATTCTTCCTTTGAGAGATCACATCCTCAGTTTCTGATTCTTACATTCATCCCTCTTGTATTTGTGATGGGAGTTCCTTTTATTCTTTGATAATTAAGTAATTTTCTCCATTAACAGAATCCTTCCTCCCACAAAACTATTCTTTCCCATCTTTCTCCATATCTAATTCCTGCTTTTTACTAAGTCATCACTGTAACCAGTCATCAGTATGTAAATGTTAGTTTGAGGTTGGCACCTTTGTCTCTTGCAGTTGAAGGTAATGGATATTGTAGCTCATCTGAATTTTCCTGCTCTTACTCTCACTCTCGTAACTTCTGGAGTCTCTTCAGAATGTGGTGTATTTTATTGTGTTCCTTATGTAAGTTGAAGAATTATCTATTAAAATTACATTTTCAACATATATAAGTTTTTGATGACTGGTAACTGGTATCCTTCCAAATAAATGCTTGCTTGGAAACAAATGTTTAATTCAGAATAAAATTGTTTATAACTAACCCTAATGTTATAAACTTAAAAACTATTAATAGAAGTTGTTATTTATAACAAATCTTAAATTGTTTAGAGGATATTTTGCATCTAAGGAAACAATCTTACTTTGGGGCCAATATGAACAAATACTGAACAGCTAAAACTCAGCTATATTTATTGCACTGACACTGCTCTACTAAAGATGGTCGTGATTTGCACACTTATGAAATTCCAAATCTTTTGCACTACAGATAGCTAAAATAGGGCTCCGATGTTCCTTGAGTTTGTAAATTATAGGAAAGAAATGGAGTTACTGTTTTATTTCAAATATGAGTTCCTCATTTCAAGGCATCATGATTTCTTTCTTTGTAATTTTGATAAGTCCCCGTTGTTTTGGTAAAACTTGCTTTCAACTCAGTGGCCTGAGACCAGAGCCAATGTGTTCACTGAGCTTTTTTAGGATTTCAGGGAGATGGAGAGATCAAGGCAGATGTCAAAAACTGGCAACTACATCTGACTTTTGGGCCTGCTTTCCTTAGCACACAACCTGTGGTTGGTTAAAACATTGTGAATTTAATGCCAGTATTTTTAAAACTTGGGGAAATCACATCAACATCAGGAAATCTGCCACTTAGAGTGATCTGGCTGCGGATGTGACCCACATAGTGGCACCCTTAGGAGGAGCCGAGCAACAGCTCCCCTCAACAGAATTTGTCGTTATCTTGTCAGTTACTTTCCTGTGGACTAGCATTCCCTCCCAGACTGCCTGCTCCTTTAGGCCTGTTTCCTTGTAAACCGTTGTTTTTCCTAAGCTAAAGAAAAGTTTGACAAAAATATTTATGTGCCCAACACTGTGCTACTTGTTGGGAATGGTAAAGGTGAATGAGACTGGCGCAAGGCTTTCCCTGTGAACCTTGTAATGAGCAAGGGGACACAGACAAATAGTAGTGGCAACTCTGCATGGTGAAAGGAAGTACTTGGCAGGAGCTGCTCTTCTGGGTTCAAGCCAGGCGGACACCTCTGGCACAGGTAACCGCATGTGCTAAACTCTGGGCTAGGCATCTGAGAAGTGACTTACCACAAATCAACGCTGCACCTTCATGGTCTCCGAAATTCCAAGGCATTGATAAAGGCTTTGCTTGTTTATTAAAATGTTTATTTTGTTGTGATTTGTTGCCACACTTGTCATTGGTCCTCTCAGAGGCTGTCTAAAAAGATCTTAGATCTGAACTATGTAGAGCTTAAACCCTGCTCTAGATCAAGAACATACTAGTAACAAAGTTTCATAAATGTTTAAAAATAAGATGAAATACAAATGAATATATAAAAGCCACAGGTGCTATAGTTTTAGCACTGTTAAAGTAGCATGTGAAGAGGAAAGCTGTAATTCTATAGGTCAAACACAATTTTAGCTAAATGGAGCTAAATGGTGCAATGAAAATGTTAAGAATTGGTTTTATTTTTCTACCTGATAGGTTCAGGAAATTTTTGACTAACCATATCTGTTTTTGTTGCAAATGTTTAAAAATACAGCCTTACTTAGAAAAGCTAGCCAAAAGTTAAAATGCCATAATTATAGGACACCTAATTCATCAGTCTATTTAAGAAAAATGTAATGTTTCGTTGGTGTAATGTATTTTGGGGCTGGGGGCAGTAATTCATTTAGCTATTTAGCATGCTACCTAGTTTAAGGAAATTATATCAGGGTTTATTTTTTAACTGACAATGATCATAAAAGCAAAAAAATGTTGAATGTAAGAATTTGAAAGAAATACAAAGAATAAACTTCTGTAATCCACCACCCAGACTGGTGATATTTTGTCTGTTTCCTTAACTATACCCCACCCCTGCACTAATTTATTATTAAAGTTGGGAATTGGGAAGATTTGTTCTAATTGTACAAATAAGGTAAATAGCCTTATCTCACAGTTTTGGCAAGTTCCTATTGGTTTCAGATCTGGGACTTGGATGAGAAGCTTTTCTGTTACGTGTAGAACATAACATGAGCTTGGGACTTTGCCCCTCTCCTGTAGGTGGACCTCTACCACCGTCCAGCTGATGGGTTTCAGCTGTGCTGAGGGCGTGGCATTTCAAGTATATGATGTAGGCTTGATACAAAGCCGAATACTGACTTAATGTGGTTGGTTCAGATCTGATGTAGAAGCAAACAGTAACTGCCTCACTGTTTAAACCTCGCTTATTGTCTCCTGCAGCAGAGCAATAACTGAAAACCCATCATCCCATGAAAGTATTTAATGGTGTTCTTGCATGAGCTTTAACATTTCTACTAATTATGGCTCAAAAACTGTTTTAGGAAGTTATGGAAGAATCGCCTCATTCCCATTATCTAGAAGAATTGTTTCCTCTTACATACCTCTTCCTGCCTACCACATGACTCCTTTATAAATGTCTTGCAAAATGGGTGACTAGATTAATTCCAGTAGTTTTCATTGCAAATTTATTAAGTATTGAGGTTTAAATTAAAAAATGTTCAAGACATAACCGATCGTTCAAAAGCATCTTTAAGACAGATACAGGTTAGCTGCACTAGGTTTGAACTTGGTGCTGTTTTCTGTCAGTTTTGCAGGAGGTGTTAGGACTGAGTAACCAAGGAAATAGGGCTTAATTTCTGGTGTTTTTCCCTTCTAAAACAGGTGTTTTGGGGTTTGCCGGCCACAGGTCTGTCTCAACTAGGCCATTGTAGTGAGAGAGCATCTAGACAATTTGTAAATGGGCAATGTGATCTGGTAAAAAGACTTGTTATATATAGACTAAGCACATGTATTATACCCAATTGTTTAACATAAGAGATTCATACAAATTTTGTTTTCAAGGTAGTTTTTAAAAACAGCTTCCTTTAAAAAAAGTGACCTTCAGAAAGAAAACCTGTATATGAAATTTTGTTAAGCCATGCTGTTACTAGGTCCAAATAAGATGTCACTGGGGAAAAAAGTGACTTTCAGATAGAACCAAATCATTAACAAACTGTAGAATAGAACTGAGGCTACCAGAAGTGAATGGGAAGGTTTGGAGAAAAGGGTGTGGAAGGGCCCCAATGGACATTAGTGGAAGACTTGAGTGTCTTGGTAGTGGGTTGGGTGTGGCAACATATGTAAGAAGACAATGTTGTAAACCACTTTAATGCTGTGCTCTGGTCAGCTTTCTTCAGTGTTACTGAAAGCCCCTTAACTATGGCTGCATCATTTTCTGGTAGCCATTTAATATCTGTTAACTTTTTAAACCTTTTGTATTAATGGCAGATTAGTAAATTCTGCAATCAATATCGTTTTTGGAACATATTTAGATTATGCAACTTATCCAACTATTTCTCTTGACTCATTTCCCAGAAGTGAAATTATTTGGGTGAAAGGGTTGTTAATACATTACATTTTGGTAATGACTCAGTTGGTTTCATACATGCCCAGAGATTTGCCTGAATATAATTTTATTTCATTATAGGGATATAAGCTAACCATTGCTCATGTAAGTCTGGGCATTTTTCCCCATGTCCTACACATGTTTTGTTGCCTGATATTGGTGCCTAAACCTTTGTCCACATTCCTAGAGGTTAGGTGGGTTCCTAATGTTACTTGATCAAAAGGCATGTTTATTTTTAAGGTAGGTGCTTGAAACAAATTGGTGGCCAAGTAAAATATTTTTCACTAATATAAGGCCTAATTTGAGGAAAATTTTAGAAAAGCAGGAAGAGTTTATATATTGGCACTGGTGTTGATAGAGCCAGGAAATGAGATGTCATGAGGACAGTCACAATTTTGGGGGAGATGTCAGTAAAAATCCAAAAGAGCAACTTTAGGATCATTTTATTAATCACATCAAAATAGAGAAATTTAAGATTAATTTCTGAGAAGACATGGAACTATGAGAGTTAAATTTGGCTCTTTGCTATATTAAAGTTAGGCATCCCTCTCCTGTTACTAAAATTTACCTAATGGCACTTAGAAAAGTGTTAGGAGGGTTAGTAGCAGGGATATCACTTCAGCCTGCCTCTAGCCCCATATTTTTACATAAAATTTTGTTTGAAGATGGTGTGGGTTAAAAATCAAAAAAAAGGAACCGACTTACCTGTAACATCTCAAAGGATATTTTAAAGGAATTTACTAAACACACCTGGCTGAGCTGCCTGTCTGTGGTACCTGTTGAGGGCAGAAATGTTACAGCATCAACCATGCTGGGCATAAAGCAGCTAGTACTTGTATCTCCCAGGAAACACTATGTGAAAGTGCTGAAACCCCGAGACAGAACCGACTATAAAGCAACATTACATCCATAACTGATTCAAAATCACTTTCAGTAAACTCAAAACCTTTTTTTTTTTTTTACGATTTTTTATGCATACAGAACTGGGGTACAAGCCAGAGGTGTAGTGGCAGTGAGAGGATTCACCAGAGACAGGATGGCGAGCAGAACAGGCAGATCAACAAAGTGTACTGCTGAGAGGAGCAGTGGACCAGTGGGCGGGTCAGGAGAGCTCTGCCCTGCCATGTGGATCACCTCCTGGCTGGGGATAAAACTCGCATTGAAGTGGCTGTGGGGGTCCTAACCCGTTGTGCCCCCAGGGAGGGCCCTCAAAAACTGTTTCAACTAGTCCTGTGACACTTGTCTACAAAATTCTGTCTATAAAGACCTGTAGAAATTTCTTACATTTGGTGAAACATGAACACGGTGCCCAGCAGTTACTTTCTCAAACAGGGCTGTGATAAAGTGGTAGCAGTATAGAATGTACTTGCAAGACACTGCACTTACGGAGTAAGACCTTAAAATAGAGAACTGTAACAGCCCTCTTAGGAACAGAATGGTAGGTGACTGGCGCTGCTGGGGAAGTGGTGAGAACTCCTTACTGATGAATAATCCTTTTAACCCAGTTAGTCGAACTAGTAAGGATCTAAATGTGCTATTAAGATGATGCATGTGATCATCAGAGAGAAAACAGTTAAGTTGAATGTCAGGTAAACTTTCAACTTGAACCGTGTCCAATTATGTCAGGAAAAAGAGAAAAGAATTTATTTCCATTTTTATTTGATGTTTTCAAATATATAAAAAAAAAAGTCAAGATTCTTACACCAATCATCTCAAATGGGACCATGCAAAGCAATTTAAAGTGTATACAACAGTCATCACCCCTGACCCCTTCAGTTTTTGCTGCTTTATACAACTGGGATCAACAGAAAATCGAATGGCATGTGTCTGGATGGAAATTTTTCACCAATTTAAAAAAGACCCAATAATAGGCACACAGGGTAGTTACTACTATTGTGTCTGCTCGTCAATTTACTGTATATTTGTTTATTCAGGAAGGAGGCACATGGGACTGAAAAGTTTACTCGATTTTATCCAACTACCCCACAAAAAGCACAACTGACAGTCCCAACACACTACAGTTAAGAGGGCTGAGATAGTACATTGTTATCCAGAGTAGATTCAACTGTTGAATCTCTTAACAGAAATAAATCTTGAGGCCCTTCCTTTAATTCTGGAAATTTAATGACAAGTCTAAAGACAAGGTGTTTGCTAAATGCCACTGAAGAAAATTCTGAAGAGAGCAGCACTACTTAGTCCAAATGTCTCTGACCAAAGAAAATAATACAACAATATTTATAGGCTCACTTTTGAGAGATGGCTGACATTAATACTGTACATATTTTACATGTAAAATACATAGTCCAAGTTTACAAAATAAGTTCATGCATTATTACCTCTAAGAATATCATGTACAAGATACCCCCCACAGTACTTGAGACAGCATTTTCGGTGGACGCAGTCATATATACAAAAACAATCCAGTTTCTCTGTTGTGTTAAATATATAATTTAAAGAAACCTCAGACTATTGAGGAAGAAAAAACTTAGTCTACTGAAGATTGACAGAAATTGTCAATTTGTGGGATCTAAAATGTTTCCTTTTTAAAAAACACCCAGAATACATAACTTCTGTAAAAAGAAAAATATAAAAATCCTGGATGATCATATTTGATCACAGCACATAATTTAGAACAAAATGTCACTGGCTAAAGGTTTTCTACTTTTACTCATTCCTTTGACACCATCAATTTGTGAACTAATGTTAATATTTAGTTTGGCTACATTTGTGGCAGAAGATCTCATTTTCAAAACAGTGGCACCAATTTTCTGTAAGTGTAACAGTACTCTACTTTTAGCAGCAATTGTAGTTTTAAGAGGTTAACAATTTGTAGAATATATAACTACATTTATTTTCTACTTTATACTCACCAGCCACAATATTTACAAACCCAACCCCACATTATTTTCAAATTTCTCTCCTCCTCCATTTCTGGTTGGGGACTACGGGAGTTTCAGTTAAAGGATGCATGTGCTTTAGATGGGATTCTTGCTTTAGAGTGAGTATAAAGTCAAGTGTAAGACAAAATATTTCTTAGCTCAGGTATGTTCTAGTGCCTATGACAAATAGTTACCTATTGAAACCTTTAACAGATGAGATATTCTCACACGCCCTAACAATTAACTGTCTCTGCTTAACAGAAGACCATTTTATTTGAGCATGACAGTTACTGACCATGTTTGCGATAAGACTCCAATCTTATGGTCAGTAACCAAGTTTAAACTGAAAAGGTGACACCAATCAAAAATTGAAAATTTTTTTATATAAGGAAATTTGAGAAATACGGTCTTCAGGTGTTCTATGTAGAGATTATGGATAGACGGAGTTGGCAACTGAATGTGCTAACTCAAAATCCATGAATATAGTTTTCACGATATCTCACTACATGCATTTTGCTTACAATACTACCCCCTTAATTTAAAAAAAAAAAAAATCATCCTCTAGAGAGTTATACTATACTGTGTTACAGGACTATTGAGTGAGTTATAGAGGAAATAGCCATATCAGGTACCTTGTGACATTATCAGTTGTCAAAATTTGTAGGAAGACTAATAAAAGGGTGTTAGTATTAAAAATGAGACAATCAGTTGACAGATGCCTATAAATAGCAAATTAAGTCTCGTCTCAGAGTTATTGGATCATACAGAAATAGCCAAAATTTGGAATTTACAAATTAAAATTTTGGCCCTGTCGAACAACTTATGAATGGATTTAATACAAAGAACTAGTTTTATAAATTCCCACAACAGAAGGATTTCTTGAGTATGTTAATGATGTGAATAAGAAAACAATATAGTGGGCAAATAAGCCCACAAATAAATTGATCTGACAAAAACCAGAATGTTGTCAAATGGACAGAAATCTTGAAAAGATGCTGGAATAAAACAATGGCTGAGATAACATGGGGAGATGGGGGTGGAAAGAGGACAATTAAGGCATCTAAAAAAAATCCCACATGGCTTTGGCTTATTAAAATATTTTACACTATTTAAAAAAAAGATTTAAAAGCATCTGAAATACATGCAAATTGTTTGAAAACCCTGCATGGCAAATTCAGACAGTTTGCAAACGTCATTCAGATGTCTGCCAAGGAAAATAAAGAAGCCTCTCCCCACTGCACATGGCAGGAGAAGATCCTCCCTGTTCATTCTATCTTATAGTAGATGGCAACCCAGAGGTCTGTGCAGCAGTCACAAACAAAGAATTATTATCTGGAAGGGAGGGGACTGTGGGATTTCCATTGGTTGGAGAACAACCCAGCTTTAGTTTTTCCAGATACTCTGCATGTACAGGCTTATGACACTGAAGAACTTTGATGGCATCTTCCACTTTGAACCATTCTCTCTTCCTTCCTAGAAAATAGTATGTCATTGTTTACTATCCAAGAATAGCAGTGAAAACAATAATTAACAGTAACAATGGCCCATGCTTCCCCCCCCCCCCACAAATAATGACTTTTTTTGGAAAGGCTTAGATAACATGTTGGGGAAAAGTTTAAGATAATTCATATATGTATCGATCCTCCTCTAAAAGGTAATCAAAAATGATTTAAGATGATAAAAGATAACTTACCTATGTTAACAGAATCTTCCCAATCTTCTAATATTTCAGTGACAGTAAGAACATAAACATATGTTCTGTGCTTTCGGTCTTGGTTCTGCTTGAATATAAAAAGAAAAGCAATTTAATTTACATGCTGTGGTTCATAAATCCACCAAAATCACCAGGATGAATGGTGGACAATTCTAATTTTCTCTTATTTTTCCTAGGGGGAAAGATACATTATTTTCTACTCAGATATGTGAAATTTAAATAATTTTAATGTTTGTAAAGTACTTAGTACTATATCCTTTCCATGGCAGATAGCTTTATTTATAACGTGAGAAGTTCTCTTCAGAAATCTTGTCAGCATATTGATGTGTTCTTTGTACAAAGCTGAGAAAACCCTCAACATGTTTTTTGATTGAACCAGGAGATGGTGCTATTTAACTGGGTAAAAGCAAGTGCTGAATTCTGGCAATGTTTAAATAATTTCACTAAATTATTAGCTTCTGGAACTCAATACTATGAAGTGCTGACTAGAGTTTTTTCTGAATTCTTGCAAAAGGGCTTCACAATACAGTTTTACAAGGACTGAGCTAAACCCTTCCATAGTGTCTTGGAGGAAAAATTCATGGTGTGTCTGGAATACCATGTAAACAGAACTAAATCTGGGCACAAATATATTTTAGAATGGCTTGGGTCTCATGTCTTGATCCCCTACTTCCCATAGAATGTCTATCACTCTCCAATTCCCTTCTCCATAAATTCCACCTGCCTTCAGTACTAGGGATTAAATAATAGGGATTAAACTGGAGAAAATTCTGTTCTTTTAGGATCTAGTCTGTATATCCCAGTTTTGTATCCTCACAGTCCGTAAGGATAAAGTACATTTCCAGAACGCATCTACAGGAATTCCAAGCCCTTAGTTAACACTGACAATACTGTGTCTCCTAAAATAAATCTCTTCCCAACCAGCAGTCAACTGAGAAAAGCTTTACTGTATCCACTCCACTGCCATTAAGGTAATCACTAATGTAATAATACTATACAAAACTTGAAGTATATGAAAATAAAGTAGCTTTACTTCACTCCCTCCTAATCCCTATAATTTACTTGGTCCAGTGACATTTAATTCTATTATCAGCAATGAGAGAATTACCTTTGTAACTCACCTCAAAAATGCCCAGGAGTCTGCCTAATTTTCCTTTGACTCCAGCCTATAAAAAGATGAAATGTAAAATTTTTACCTTTCATAATATAATTGATATGAAAGCTATTTTTTGGCAGTTTCAATTTTTGAATCTAAACACAGGAGGCCCTCCCATACCAACCAACCCTGTTTCTGTGGAGCTGAAATCCATGACCTATGGTTTGCTATATGTAAGCCATGGCTTAATTTATTCCACAGTCACTTTCCTATCGATCAGATTTATTGTCCCATATAAGAAAAGGCAAGGGCTGGGGAAAACAAAACAAAACCACACAACACAACTGTATAATCTACCAATCTGGGAACTTCCATCAGTGAAAATAGGCTTTTCTGTGTGAAATGACCTTCTCCCTTCCTTTGCTCAGGAAGTCATTCAGGCTTCAAGATCCATCTCTATGAAATCTTTCCAACTACACAGGTCCATTGAGAGAGCTTTAGCATCTGTTTCCCATTTATACCATAACTGCTGTTCAATAAACTTTTATGGCACTTAATCTATGCTGTTTTGCCTGTAAGAGCAAGTTCTCGCTCTCATAAAGTATATGTTAAGAAGACAAACAGGCCATCTATGCTTTTTTGCATGTGTGTGCACATATTTACTGAACTTTTAAGACTGAACAAAAAGCAATGTGCTTCTTGTTCATTTGAAAAAAGAATTAGAGCATATGACTAAAGGCATACTAAAGCCTGTGCATGCTTGCTCAATGTAGTTAGTTAAGACTGTGCTCTGGGGTAAGGCCATCTTTTTCTACATTGATCAATAATCAAAGTTAAGTTAGGTAACAGAAGCTGCACATCATGCAATTCTGGGGGACTTCCATATTGATCTTAATTTTTATGGGGTAGAAAATAAGTCTGCTCAGCAAAATGCAACCTATATAGTCACATGTTTAAAAGTGCAGAAATAGGTGAACTGCAAAACACTGGAATAGTCTTGTTATCTTCTCTTCAGTGTTATGCAGCACAATGCCCTGTTTGTGGCTCTCACACAGATAACTGCCTTGCCAGTTCCCAAAGTCCAGTTAGTGTGAAAGGAGAACTAACACTCATCTCACCTCTTCATAGACCTCCCTCACAGCAGCACCACCAGGCTCCTCCTCAGGTTCCATTCCTCCTCCTGGGACAATCCATTGGTCTGGGTGCCGACTACTGCTCACCAACAGCACCTGCAAGACAATCATCACTGCATACTCCCAGCCAGCAGCACCACGGATATAAGCAGCATCCTAATTTTACAAGGTTGTTAAGGCTCTTCTAGACTAATCCATTTTTAAACTTCATTAAAATCATTAAGGACCACACATTATCACACAAGAAGAATCACTGAGAACTTTTGTAAATGTTTCCTTTTTGAATTCAAAGTTTTACAGTAACAGACCAAATCAAATCATTCTGTATCTACTGAAGTCATTTAAAAGACCAGACTGGAGAGTAAAAATCCTATTCTCAAATACTAACAAAGAATTATAGCAGATACTTGCTTTACTAGCCACAAAGTTTTGTGCACTGAGCTTTGTTATGTCAGTTATTCTTTAGTTACAGAATTTTATTCTTCCAAATAGAAGTATGAACCACCGCAGGTGGTTCTACCATAGCACAGAACACTGTTTCTTGATATCCCTATCCTCTCACAAAGTCACCTATATATTTCTACAATATCCTCGGTGTTTTAGATCTGTAGTATATAGCTTTAGCATACTAACTAGCCCATAAAATAGAATTAGCGGTAACAGAGGCTATGAGAAAATAAGGAAATTCATGTACTTCCTATTTTCACACAACTGCGTAGAAAGAGGCACATGACATATTCCAAACCTATGTAAATGAGCAGAAGTTGCTCTATTTGGTAATAGCCAGTTATAATTTATGATGTTGAACAGGGCTGGCAAGTGATAGCCCACTGCCTTTTCTTGTATAGGCTGTGGGCTAAAAATGGCTTCTGTATTTTAAAGTTACATCAAATTCAAATTTCATATATGTTCATAAATAACATTTCATGAAAACTCAGTCACATTCATTTCTTTACATATGGCTGCTTTCTTGCTACAACAGCAGAGCTGAGTAGTTGCAACAGAGACTCTGTGGCACACAAACCTAAAACATTATCTGGCCCTTTGCAGAAAATGCCTTGCAATCTGTGATCTACAACAGCCTGAAGTGTGAAAACATTAGAAGAAAAAAAAAATCAAATTACTGTCACAGAATGTCCTAAAGGTAAACTATTTCAACAATACCTCAAATAAGTATTACACATCTATTTTATAAAGTGTTTGGCCAAGTTAGATTGAAATTCACCCAGCTGTTTGAAAAAGGCAATAATAAATAACCAAGTGGTGTTTTTTTTAATAGATGGTAATAAGTGGCACCTTAACCAACTCTAATACAAATGATCACAACAATACCTTGGTCATTGCCTTGAAGTAAATGTAAACAGTTCTCACTAGAAAAAGTCCTAATTCAGAGCAAAGTTTAATCCCACTGGGAATAATGACTATTTGACTTGTATACCACTAACTCCTTCCCTCCGGGCAGAAGAACTGTTGGCCCTTCCAAGTTCACAGCCAGGAGAGGGTTCACCTTCTTAAGGAAGCAGCAGGAACTCAACCTCCCTAAGATGGGAAATTCCAGGCTGACAGTATTGACAAGTCATTCAGCATTTCCCGCCTTTCACCCAAAGTTCTGAAACGCTTAAGAGTTTAAGATCAAAAATAAGGAACAGCTAATCAGGAATATTAACTCTTGTCAATTTGAAGGGGGGAAAAGACCACACACCTTCACCTGTGGACACACCATCACTACAGAGTAGAGATCACTTATCATTTCATGTGCAACTGGTGGAATCGTGGCAAACTGAGAACAATGCTATAAATTAACATTAATTCACTATATCTTAGCTAAAGCACTAATGGTTTAATCTGAGGTTATTTCCAAGTCCAAGCATAGCAATTTTAGTAAAGTGAAATGTTAGAGCCTTAAATTTAAGATTTATGTGATTAGCAAAATGTTATGTATCAAAATTAGAAACTGAAAGCCAGAGTAAGCAAACCTGGCAAGAAATGGCTAACAGTTTGATCACAACCTAGATGTGTTTCATTCCTTGATGCACAATCATGGACCAATAATCTACCTTTCAAAGCACTAATTTCCTCGTCCATAAAAAGTAATACTTGTAAAAGTGTTGAGTGTTAATGAATATTAAACATCGCAGACCCTGAGTAAGCAAGCATTCACTCATTAAGTGCTACCTCTTCTGCATCCTCACCAATTGAGTTGAATCAACTCATCAAAGAATCAGGCTTATTCCAAAAATTTGCCAGCTGCATTTGCTTTATTATTATATTACTGAAAGTTAATGTTGTAGTGATGCAGGCCAAGATTTACCAAAGACTGCAAATATTCACTAAATGTAAGTTACTGAAATGAAATTCACTAAATGTATGTTACTATAAAATTTCTATGGATGAAACTACTATAAAATGGAAGTCTCAAAATCCAGAAAGTGCCTGTAGTAGTTTAAACTAAAATTCTACTTGAAGTAAGTTGAAAATTGCAAATCAGATTTCACCTTTGTGCTTTGTTCAAAAAGAATGCTATGGTATTCAGACATTTTGGCCTCACATTAAGACCAGCAAATGAATATAAATTATTATGTCAAAACAAAACATAAAAATCGTTAATGTTTAAGGTAAAAAAACATTATCTTAAATCAAAGGAAAAATAAATGGTAGCCTGCTTCACTTGTGGAGCTAGGTTTCTTTTTATGAGCATGAGTTGTATCCTGAAGATAATCTGGTTTCTATTACCTGGATGAAATTCTTACTACTTTATTTTATGCTCTCTAAGCAACCTCTTTGATTACCTTCCTATGGGACAGGAGGGTGCAGGTGGCTAAGTGCTGCCCTGTTGAGTAAATAGTTTCAATACCATTGATATTTATAAATCCGAGTCCTGAAAAAAATGAAAATCAGTGTCACCTATCTAGGTCAATGAATTTTATGTTCCCTTTCCTCCAAGCTAGCCTTTCAGAGCCAAATTACGTAAGGTTAATAATGGTGAAAAAACCATAAGAACTGCTTTTGCCTGCTTCTCTGAACACTGAAACTTGTCTTCCAAAAGCCAGTGACTAGGAACCTCTGCATGGCTTAACATCTACCTTTGTATATTACATTTTAGAAAGCTTCATGAAAACAAACCTGTATAAGTTTTATACAGAAGACTTAGCTGAAAACAAGAACTTACTGTTCTTGTAAGGTCCTCAACTTTCCAAAATGTTTATATTTGATCAAGCCATTAATTTCAAATGTACATTTCAAAAAGGGACCAATTTAAATTTGGGATTAATACTTGTGATATGGAAATGACTGGCACCTAAATTTCTAGTTAAGGTGATTCTGAAAATGAACCTTTGTATACAATTGAAAACCAGTGTTACAATGAGTATTTGTCTACTCATCTTCAGTACTTCATCCAGAGTTCAAATAAGGACAAAGTCACATTTGTTAGGGAGATGGTGACAAAGAGCACTATCTAAGGGATTTACTTAGGCAAGAGATAGAATAATGGCACAGATCTGCCAGGGTGGAAGAAATGAAACTCAAATGGCTTAAACAAATGCCAGGATAATTAAAAGCCCTTCTAAACATCTGAAGACTAAACCTAAAGAATCAAAGCACATAGCACTATTTTTATATACCTACCCCCCTGGACATTTCTAAAACATTCTCAATTTTCTGTATTACATAGCTTGAAAGTGCTAATTATACACAAAAAATGATATTACTAAAGTTACAAAGTCATAAAAACTTACTCAGTAAGAAGATAGAGTAACAGCTGATAGATCTATACTGGTCCTTCATAGGTTTTAAATTCCTTTTCAATTATCTTTCTGGGTATATTGTGTATTCAAGATAAATGACAAGTAACAAGATTACAGAGATGGAAGCAGACAACCCTTCCAAATAAGAGAGCTGAGACCAAAGGAAACATTCATAAAATGGAGGAGGCCAGTCACCAACCAAAAGGCAGAATTTAGACCTGAATCACACTCAAACCCCAACCTATGCAGTGAAGACATTTCTTCCTCAATTCAAGCTGACTACCTTCATTCCTGAGTCTTACATGATAAAGATTTTACTGTGAGTTGGAATGATCTACTGAATACCTTTTATCACCCAACAAGGCCTCTTCATTGGGAAACTATTAAGAGCATGTAAGCCAAAAAATGCTGTTGCTGATTTAGGTCTGGATAGTGTCATTATGCCTGCAGAGGCTGATGGTACATGGGACAGTTAATCCCCTACACCAGGGGACCCCAAATTCCCTTCTGTCTTTTAGGTTTTAACCGTGAGCACTGCAGTGGTCATGGCCTGTCTCTGAGAATATCCAGAGAAATCTTTAGATGATCCCAGTAGCTGTTTGTATTTTTTTTTCTTCCCATGTTATCATGAGTCAGGATCATGAATGGTTAAAATTACTTCTACCATACTTAACTTTTCACAGTTATTTAACCAAAACTAGGCTAGCAGCATATCAGGAACACCCATTATACATTTGACTTTTAAAAAAATCTAGTTTACAACAATGGTGGCTCTTATATGTACTAACCAATTATCTTCTTCTATCATTAAGCAAACTAGTTACTTTTGGACCACAGAGGTACAATGCTAAAGGGGGATCAGAGGTTAACAGTTCATGCTGGGAAAATGTGCCAATCTACCTTAGATTATGGGACTGGTAAATAAACATGTCAGTAATGGTAAATTGAATTGTTCATGAAGTTTTCTCCTAGTATGTCAATGTTTTCAAGTGATGGGTAAGTTTTTCCACTATTAAGAGAAAGCGTTGTTGATATACCAAGACACTAAAGGTAAAAAACAAACACAGAAGTGCTTCCCCTTGAAGAAAGTGGCTGACTTACTGGTCTACAAAGTTTTAGAGTTACGTAGCGCTTTGTGACTGCTTTTCCACCAAATCTAAGATCCTATATCAGCAATTCCTTAGCCTTACATTTAAGAAACTGGTTTTGGACCACTATTTGTTTTAGCCTATCCTAAGCTGCAGCCAAACTGGTCCCAAGTATTGCTCTTATTTGTGATGTTTGGCCCTTTTCCTACTTAAGTCCAACTGGAAATGCCTCACTCCTCACTTTGGATCTAAACCACTGGATGGCACTTTTGTATTAGTTCACTTCCCTTTATACTATCCTTCCTCTGACCTCCTGCTATAAAATAGGTTACTTAGGAGCTGACCCTTTTCATCTTTGTGTCCAAACTCTCTTATCTGTCAGTAAGCTCAATGGAATCTGTTTTTGGTAACCTGGTGTGAATGTCACTGTATCCCAGTGTCTCTAAGGCACCTGTATTTGTGGACTTGTCTGAACTCCAGCTGCCAAAACTAAAGGTGATTTCCCACAAAAAGAATTAGGTGGAAAGCTCAAATGGAGATGAGATTTAGAAATAAAAGTCCTAGGTTCAAAACAACCTGCCTCCTTCTGTGACCTTGGGATAAGTTACTTCTGCTGCCTAATTTCTTATTTAACTCACAGGACAGAAGATAAAAATGGAAAAAAAAAAAAAAAACTACCCCCAACAGAATATACTATTGTTAGAGCCTCCTTTACTAGAACAACCTGTTCTAAAGTAAGGGCTACCCCGAGAACTCCTTCAATTCAGGGCAAGCCAGATTGGAGCACTGCATAGCTTTTTGGGGTCAAACAGCAATCATTTTATTTCACCTTATCCTCACTTCGCATCTATTAGCTAAGTGATATGGGCTTAGTTTGATTTGTAGCCTATCCTCAGAAGGGTAGCACTGTATTTTCAACAAAGTAGCAACAAACTTACAGGAAATAAAAACTTATAGGAAAGTAAAAGCTAACAGCATTTACTTTGTAATGATCATATATAATAGAGCCCCAAGTGTACACAACCACAGAAATTAAAGCCCCTTGAAGAGCTACATCAGATGTTAAAGTGGCTGCACATTTTACTTAAGAGAATTCTAGGGTCTTCTCTCTGAGCATATTCTTTAAGAAATTGATTTCACTTAGTTTCTCAAGCCATAGGTCAGATTTACAAAGTTTTACATAATGAATTTTCCAAAAAACTCTCCCAATCTTGCTTCCTTACTTCATTTTATTTATTGAATAAAATTGACTCAACTAGAGACTTGAAATTTAGCATTTCCTACAATACAAACAATATCCAGAAATGTAATTTCTGATGCTTTCCTCAGACTTTGCTCTACATTCACAAAACACAGATCATTTCAATTTCTTTCCATTTCCTGTATTTTCTTCTGGGAACTTACACATTGTTACAAAGCTAGGTTCCAAGTTCATGTGGTGGCAAGACTTCAGAGTCCCCACTTTCAGAAAGGTTTCCAAGCTCAGTCTCCCAAATCTCACATTCAGCAACTAGCCTGTACCCAATTGCTAAGGGCTAGACCCTGGGCCCAGAGCCCAGCATCAGAAGTTGGGCTGATCCTCAATTTCCACTCTACTTCCTAATTATGTTATTTTGGCTACATAGTATACTCTGTAACTACCTCCTCTCCTATAAACTAGGAATATCACCGTTAAAAGGATTAAATGTAACCTGAAGGTCTTCAGGAAATACCTGACATATCTTAAGCACTGAACTAAAATCAACTGACATATCTTAAGCACTGAACTAAGATCAAGATTACACAAAGCAAATCAGGCCTATCATGATCACTAGTGGTGATTCTTTTATTATCAAAGTTTTTCATGTCCTAGTGTGGCCCTGCCCTCAAGGACCTTCTAAATTTTAAAAGCAATGCATTTAGTGATGGTTACTTTAAAATAAAAACAAAACCTGAGTTTGAAGAGATCCATTTTGAAACACTGACTTTTGTTAGCATAGTAAGAACAAGTCACTTAGTGAGTGAAACTTTCTCAATACTCATCCTAACTACCAGGACTTAGCATATCAGGAAACCATTAAATGTCATTTCCAGCTTTGGCCTGGTATTTTACTAGGCATAGCTGGTGATGGAAGCAGAACTCTAGAATAATCCCCCTTCCACCCCCAGTCATTTCAGAAGTGCCAAAGTTAAAGATTTCATCAACTACCAATTGCATACTATTGCCCTAAGCAAATTTAAAAGTGAGCCATTTTTAATAACTTAAATAAGTAAAAACACCTCTTCAGTGAAACCTCAAGGGTCTCACTATCATATCCAATGCAGTTGAGGAAATTATAGAAGACTGGTTGGTTTCTCTTAAAACAAGAAAGGCTCCTGCCCATATGTTACGCAAAACTAGCAAAGTAAAGCAGCGCCGGTCACTATGTTCATAGCTGGAGATGACCCTGAAAACAGCAAGTTTGTCCACCTCTAGCCTTCTGACATTATATTCTTTCCACAAGCAGAAAACTTAGAAAAAAGAAAACGTTAATAAAAAAAAAAATCACGTGTCATCATGCGGAATGCTTGTTAGTTAAATGATCCACTCAGGAATGGAACTGCTAGAACTACACCAAATGGGATATTTTAATGCCCAGAGACTGTTGGGCTATTCCACAGGCATGCCTAGGTTTAATCTTAAACCGCAAACGGCTGCAACATGGAAGGAATACTTAACAGGCAGAGAGAGGCTTGGACAGCAATGCTAACGCCATTTCTACCCCTTATCGCTCGAGGTTTACTTGGCTTTACGCTCTATTCGCCTGTCAAGATGGTGACTCCGCTAGGCACGACCTCTGCGGCCTGGGACCTTCCCCCGAGCCAGGGGTTCAAGAGGCGTCTCGGCCTCGGGTTCTCACGACAGTCCAGCTGGAGAACGGTGGGCTGGGCGAGCCCCTTTGTCTCCTCCGCCAACTGAGAGAAAGGCAGGCAGGCGAGGGGGCGGGAGAGCGGGGAAGGGCTAAGCTCCCCTAGCCCTGGCCCTAGCCCTGGGGCCAGACGCAGGGAAGGGCTAGGACCCCCACCCGCGCCCATCCCTGACCTCCACCCCGCCTGCCCCGGCGCCCCGAAAAGATGGCTCAGAGCTCGCCGGCCGCCCTCACCTCGTCCTCCTGCTCGCTCCGGAAGCACAGGCACGCCGCCCGCTTCTTGAAGCCCTCGCGGTCGTACGTCCGCGTCTGGTTGGGCTTGAACTTCATCATAGAGGCGGGATCTTGCTGCCGCCGCTGCTCCGGCCGCCGCCGCGGGGGTCCGGCCGCCGCCACCCCGCCGGGGTTTTGGGGTGAGGGCGAGTCGGGGCGCCGAGGCGCCGGGAGGCAAGGCGGCAGCACGGGGAGGGGCAGCGAGGCCGGTCAGTCCCGGTGCCGGCGCCCGCTCCGATGGGGGACAAGGCGCGAGCGCGGGTCACTGGAGCCCGGATGCCAGAGAGGAAGCGCCGCCTCTGCCCGGGCGTCCGCCGCTCTCCATGGAGCCCGACGCCCGCTCGCCTCCGCTCCCTCCAGCCGCTGCCGCCGCCGCAGCCACCGCCAGTGGGGGAAGAGCGAGGCACAAGGCTCGCGCCGCACAGAAACAGTTGCGGGAACTCGCGCCGACTGGGCAGCTGCGCCGCGGCGGCTCCGTACCGCCCCCTCCGCCTGTATTTAAGCTGGCCCGCGAAGCCCCGCCCCCACGCGCTCGGCCGCCCCACCCCGCGCGCCACTGCGCCTGCGTGTCGGGACCGTTGTGGCAGGGCTGAGGCGGCGGGGGTGGGGCCTGTGTCGCCCGGAGGCTGCGTTCCGCGGGGCGGGGGCGCTGCTTCTTCAGCGGAGCGCGAGGTAACCTGCGCGCGCCAAAATGTCAAGGGAGAGGGGAGACTCCGCTCCTTCCCTGGTTGTAAGCCGCGCGACTTTGCCCTGGAGGATTTTAAATGCCAGTTCCGCCAGGAGGTGTGACTACACACGTCCTCCGTAAAGTTGCCCCCGAGTGGGGAAATGCCAGAGGCAGCGCAGCGAGGGCAGTCTCTGCGGTGCCTTTTAGACACTTACAGAATTCGCCCATGTAGCTCAAGGAGAGAAGGCCTCGAAAGGTGAAGACCAAGAGAGTTTTCCTTAGATATGTTTGCTTGCCACAAGAAAGGGAGAAAGTCGCTTTCCTTTTTTTCATAAACCTTGGGGGGTGGGTTGGGGGTGGGGGTGTATGTGTCGAGGAGCAGTCACTTGTTTTCTTTCCAGAGTTCCTAAGCTTTAGCTTTGAAACCGTGGCTAACAGGTGCCCCTCTCTCATCACCCGTGATGGCAGCGGCTAGTTTTTTTTTTTTTAAAGATATATTTATTTATTTATTTATCTGGTACAGGCCAGAGGTGCAGGGGCGACGAGAGGATGTACCAGAGACAGAGTTGAGAGCAGAATAGGCAGGTCCACTGAAATACTCTGCTGAGAGGAGCAGTGTATGAGACAGGAGAGGTCTGCTGAACCAGGTGGGTCAGCTCCCTGGGCTGGGATAGAACTGGTGCTGCAGTGGCTGAGGCTTGGCTAGCTCCTGGTACTGCGCTTTAACCCTTTGTGGCACCAGGGAGGGCCCTTGGCAGTGCCTAGTTATATGGAGCGTTTTTATGTATCTCTTCTATATATCTCGTGCTAAGTAACCATATAGCTAGGGGCTTAGCCCCCAACCTAAATATGTTGGAATCTCTGCCATCTGGGAGTTTCTGCTCATGGCAGCTTACCGTTTTTCAGAGGTTTGGGACAGCTACCTCTCCGTGTGTTTTGCAGGACCTCTGCTCAGCCAGGAGGCCTTGCTGTCTGGAAGCTGGGAAGAAGCCCTCTCTGCCTTTCCCTCCTGTGCCCTCCACAGATAGGCCCTGTCTGCTTAGGTCAAGCATCAGACTGTTGTTCATTCCTGGAAGGCCTACTGTGTGCACTGGCATCTAAACTGGCCCCTGCCCTTCCAGCAACTGAAGCACTTGAGAGCAGACTATCAAATATTAAACAATGACACCTATACATGTAAAACTACCAGGGCTATAGGGTCTAAGGTGGTAGAGGGCTTCGTAGGCAGATTTCGTCAGATCTGCAAGTCAGAAAAGGCTTCCAGATGCTGGAGACGCAGCAAGGCAGAGCTGAGGATTGAAGGAAGAGGAGGAGAAAGGAAGACAGGGAGCTGGTAAACTTTTAAGGCTGCAGGAACTAGTACATATGCAAAGACCAGTGGAGGGAGAAGAGTTCAAGAATGAGAGAAAGAGGCCAGTGTGCTGGAACTGGAGTCTGAGGGAGCTGGGTTCCACCTCTGGCCTGATGGCCAGGAAGCCTGACCATTCAGACACGGGGTCCTTGGAGAGCCCAGAGCATTAGTCTTCCAGTTGTAGACTGACTTCTTTGTTGTTTGGTACTGATGTATCTTACTCATGTTCTTACTCCCAGATCCTAGCAGGTGCAAGTTTGTAGATGAGTTAGTGTTAAATATGTGCTTTAAGAAAAGAAACTTTGCACAATTGGGAAACTTATCAGGTCTGTGCAGAGACATGTTCAAAGTCTCAGCTTTCTTACAAAAGCCACTTTATTTCCAGATTTACAAATTTCGCAGAAAATATTTAACTAGGGACTCCTAGATAGTGGTGAATATTACTAGTAGTGAATATTATTTTTAGATAACTGGTTCAAATTGATAAAATGATTCATTTCATGATAAGATTAAGCTTCCCTCTTAAAACTGTTCAGAGATCTGACTTCAATTCGGTATTCAATACATATTAGTTGATTTATATGTTTTTATTATATTTTATATTGTTATGCTATTATAATAAATGTTAGTTCTCTCAAGCCTTTCCCTTTTAGTAATTACTTGAGATGAGTCATGACTCAGAATTAACTGAGGAGTAGAGAGGAAGATGTCTGTAACCAGCTCACAGAATGGGGAATTGAATTCAGGTCTCAAATGTACCAAACACTATATATAGCTTTTTTTCAACTTTCAAATGAACTAAATGATCATAGTGAAACTGAAAGTGCTTTACAACTATGAAGCATTTAAAGAAGGGTAAGATGTGTGAATATTAATATTTAGAACTCTATTCAAATGAGGTCAGGAGGTTAGAAGGAGAGTTCTACACACGTGTAAACCACAAACTGAAGGACCTAACATGCCTTTCGTTTCCCAAGAGAAATGATGGTGTTTTCCTCTCCTGTAGAACTGAGGGCGTGTCCTCCAGAGACTGTGTAGGGGTTGTGAGTCCTGGATCTGGAGTGTATCTCACCATCAACTACTTTCCAGCCTGCCCTCTCTTCCGTTGTTTCATTCGGAATAAACTGGCTTGTGGTTGGAATAAAGAATTGCGCTTGTTTGGGCTCTAGAGAAGTTACTGAGTTAAGCAAAAGATTCCTTTGATAGGATGAATAGTCACCTTCCCCTTTTTAAGTTTCATTCATTAATTATATTTTGGCAATTATTTGATAAAGTCCCAAATAAAAAAGAAATTGATATAACTAAAATGAGAGACTGGAGAAAGACCAAACTACCAATGCTGTCTTGTAGTCTTGTATATCAGTTCCTGTGTCAGGTCCTCCATATTAGGAGCTCAATGCTCCCTGCTTAGTACTGACTAATGTGAGCTATGCATCTGAAATGCACTTCAGGCACTGTCTGAAATTAGATCATAGCCAGCCATACCATAGTTGAGATAGATACAAGCTTGTTTTTCCTCCACAAGGCCAGTAAAGACAGGGTGGCACTGGCAGTTCCCTTAGGGATCAGAGTCCAATTTCAGGTTAGTGTGTTTAGTTCACTGAACCACAGTATTGCCTTACTAAGAACTTAAATACAGAGTCATTTCTTGTACTGTTTTCAAATATTTGGAACCTCCAGCATGGAAACAGTTTGACACTGGCCTCTGACAGTCATTTCTTTTCCCTGTGTCTTTTTCACTAGTAGAGAGTATCTTGGAAAATGGTATGATGGAGAGATGTGACCATAGGGTTTAGGGCAGGGAGCTCCCTGTCTTCTCTCGCAACCAACTCACAATGTTTCCATACAGTGAGTTTCTTCTCTCTTGGTAAAACTGATCTTGACAAAAGATCCCTTTCTTTGTCTTTCTACAGATAATAACAGCTAGTCTTCACTGTGTGTTAGCCAGTGCTGGTGCTTTTCATGATATCATTTGAAAAGATCCTAGCAGCAGACCTATGAGGTATTTTATTGTTCCCATTTCACAGGCAAAGAAGGATAACATTCTCCTTTTGCTTGTTCTCCTTCTTCTGTTACATGGTAATTATATTTTCTCATATGTGTTGTGTTTTACCACTGGAGCTTCTTTTCATTTTAAAATTAAAAAGGAATTTAGGTTAAGGTAATATCTGGAACAGAAGCCTTTACGGTGAGAAATGGAAGTGGTAGTCATGATTAAAATTTCCTGTCATGTAAAGGAATTGTTTTCTTTTACAAAGGGAATAGACTAGAATGGAGAAAGCAAAGTCTGAAAGCTAATTCTTAATGTAAAGCCTTGAATTAAAAATCTTAAATAATCATCTAGTATCTACAACAGCTTAAAGTAGCCTGTTTTGGTTGACTATAAACTTCTCTTGTTGAAAAAAAGTTGTAAATGCTTTTCAGATTTCCAGCTCATTTTCTATCTGTTCCATTCCTATTTACTGCAAACCATGTTGCTTCACAAGCATCATCTCTGTATGAGTTCTCTGTGAATAGTAAAATTGCTTGCCTGGAAGTTCAGTTCCTCCTTCTCTTCTTTATCACTCAGGGAAAGGTATATGTCAAGTGCTTATCTCCTCAGCAAAGGCAATGACTTGACATTTTCATCCACTTCTTCAGGACAGCATCTTGAACTTCATTCAGAATGGTTGTTTTTCTATACAAAGTGATCTACATTTTCTTCTGAGAATAAATGGGAGGAAAAAAACAACATCCACAAAAGATATCATAACTAATTCTAATGAAGCAACCTTGTTTTGATCTAGATTCAAATAAAAATTGTTTTAAGAAGGACTTTGTAGGACAGTCAGTTGATGTGAACTTGGATGGAATATTTTACATCAAGCCACTATTGTTATTTTTGGCAGCTGTGATGATGTTTGAAAAATGGAATCTTTACCCCTTAGATATATTGTATACTAAAACATTCTGAGCTGAAGTGATATAATAGCTGGGATTTCCTTCAAAGTTATCTGTGTTGTTAGAACAGTGAAAATGGGTGGGAGTATGGAAGAAAATAAATAGGCTATGAGTGGATTAATGTTGAAGTTAGAGATAATGGATGCCCAGGAATACATTGCATTATTTGGGGATTTCTTTAAAATTTCCTATAATAAAAATATCTTAAAATATTAAAGTGTAAGCCATTAGGAGAATTGGAGAGAAGGTGGAGAGGGAAAAGAGAAATGTTCCATATTTCATGAGGGCATGGAAATAAAATCTCCACACTGGTAGAATATACATTGTACATAGTCAGAAGTTAGACGATTACAGAAGGGTGAAATAACCAAAAATGCAGCTTGTAAATTATGAGATTTTTATAAAATATGTTGTAATATATTACTTGCCTATGTAAGAAATTTTAACATAACGGTCTATGAATCAAATTTTCTTGTCTTTCTATGTGAAAAATTTTTTTTAA